GAGTGGAGGGATGCTGTGGGCGCTGGGATTCTCAGATCAGCGGGATGGAAATAATGAAATCATTTTCCCTATGATGTGAGTCAGCCCCACATCCTGTGGTTGAAAAGGAAAGGGATCCAAGCCAAGCCCAGAATTAGCCTTTTCCCAGTAAATTTGAAAGAGAAATTCCGGGGAAAGGGGAAGTTGCTACAAAAAGAGTGAAAATTGAAAATAGCGCTGTCAAAATCTTCCGTGAGGAAGCTCTGAGGGACTCGCGGGAGGGGATCAGAGATGAGGGCATGGAGGAAATTAAAAGGAGAAAACAGAAATCCTGGATGATTCCAAAGCTGATCTGATGTGTTCAGGATGTGGCAGCAAGGCTGGGATGGGCACACGCAGGGGATGTGGAGAGCAAAACCCATAAAATTCGGGAAATTTGGGAATTATTGAAAATAATTTGGGAAACTGGAGCAGCAAAAGTCAGCTCAGGAAATGGGGTGCGTGCAGCACCAGGGGCTGCCTCAACTCTGCTCCTTCGGGGCTCTGAGAGTTGGGAATATCCAAAAAGGATTTTCTGGAGAAAATTTGGTGGAAATGCTCTTATTCTGTGACTGCAGGATGGAACTGAACAGTTTCAGAGTGATGATTTTAAGCCACGATCTTAAAATATTTGTGTTCTATTTGTGTTGTAATTATAGTGAAAATTCCAGGGGTGGACTGTGTGTAATTTATCTTTCTGTTTTGTGTCAGGATTTTTGGTGTAGGAAACYTTTTCCTCCATTTAGTTTAGTCCATCTTTTGTTTTTTGTCGTTGTAAGTAAAAATTGTGCCTTGAATGTGGATTTTAATGATTGTTCAGCCCAAAGCAAAACCCCACAACCACCTCCAGGAACGAATGGATGTTCACATGAATGAACACACGAATCTGGGGCTTTTCCTGCCAATGGGTGCAGTGTCCTGGTGTTGTAGGGCCCTGGAGAATGTGGGATTCTGCAACAGCTCTGCTTTGAGGGACACCTTGGAAAATGGGGCTGCGAAAGGCCTGAGAAAGGATCCCTCCTCCATTGCTCAGATCCCTCCATTCCTCCATCCCATTGATCCCTCCATCCCATTGATCCCTCAGATCCATCAGATCCCTCCATCCCTCCCATCCCTCCATCCCTCAGATCCCTCCTCCACCCCTCAGATCCCTCCATCCCTTGGATCCCTCCATCCCTCCATCTTTCAGATCCCTCCATCACTTGGATCCTGCCTCCACCCCTCAGATCCCTCAGATCCCTCAGATCCCTCAGATCCCTCCATCCCTTGGATTCCTCCATCCCACTGATCCCTCCATCCCTCTGATCCATCCTCCATCCCTCTGGTTTCTCCATCCCTTGTATCCCTCCATCCCTCCATCTTTCAGATCCCTCCATCGCTTGGATCCCTCCTCCATCCCTCAGATCCCCCCAACCCTCTGATCCCTCCATCCCTCAGATCTCCTCCATCCCTCTGATTCCTCCTCCATCCCTCCCATCCCTCCCATCCCTCCATCCCTCAGATCCCTCAGACCCCTCCATCCCTCAGATCCCTCAGATCCTTCCACCCCTCAGATCCCTCCATCCCTTGGATCCCTCAGATCCCTCCCTTCCTCAGATCCCTCCTCCATTCCATTGATCCCTCAGATCTCTCCATCCCTCAGATCCTCCCTCCATCCCTCCTTCCCTCAGATCGCTCTCAGATCCCTCTCAGATCCCTCCTCAATCCCTCTGATCCCGCTGATCCCTCCATCCCTCAGATCCCTCCATCCCCTCTGATCCCTCCACCCCTCAGATCCCTCCTCCACCCCTCAAGGTCACTGCAATCCTTTATTTCATGATATCCCATCCTCTCCAGATTGATGATCCCATCTCATTTCGCCTCGTCAGCACATTTCCTTTCCCTTCCCCCGCTCTCTGTGCCAAGGTCGTTAACACAAATGTTGAGCGGGATAATTTTTTTTTTTTTTTGAGGCAGAATCTCGAGGATTTTGGGCCCCTCTGGGTGTCACAGCCCCTTCCAGCAATGCCCTTTCTGCACCAAATTCCSTTTTTTCATGCCAGGCACATCCTCTCTGCCTCTCTCCTAATTTACTACCTGGCCTGGATTCAAACATCCTCCTGAAGCTCTGAAGAGCGAGATCCACCCCATTTCCTTCCCCACAAATCCCTCTGACCTTACAAAAGGCAGCTGTTGGTTTGGGATTGGCGTGGGGTTTGAAAGAAATCAGGATAAGAAGCTCAAACAAAACAACAAAAAAAATTAAAATATTTCAGTGTTACATATATTAAAATATATCTGTTAATGAATATATATATTAACAAAGAGYATTAAAATTTGGGATTGGGGAAATTTGGGGTTGGGGCACGGTGTCCCCTCTGCTGTCCAATGTCCTGTTTGCTTAGACACAGCAGTGGAGTTCCCCAGGGAACTCAGTATTGGGATAACAGAGCTGCAGCTCAATTTTATTGGGTTTTTTAGGTATTTTAAATTTTTTTAAGGTATTTTTCCATTTTATTGGGTTTTTAAGGTATTTTTCCATTTTGTTTTTTTATGTATTTTTAAAATTTATTTTTAATGTATTTTTCAATTTCATTGGTTTTTTTGGTACTTTTTAAATTTATTTTTTTAGGTATTTTTCAATTTTATTGGGTTTTTAATGTATTTTTTTAATTTATTCTTTAGGTTTTTTCAATTCTATTGGGTTTTTTAGGTATTTTTTCAATTTTTTTTAGGTATTTTTAAAATTTATTTTAAAATGCATTTTTCAATTTTATTGGGTTTTTTAGGTTTCTTTAAAAAWTTTTTAATGCATTTTTCAATTTTATTAGGTTTTTTAGATATTTTTCTTTTATTTTTTTTTAGGTGTTTTTCAATGTTTTTTTTTTAGGTATTTGTTGATAGATTCAGCGTGAGAATAACGTTGATATAATTTTAATTATTCCTGAGTGTTTTTTGCTCTCATCAAGAGCTCCAGGAGCCACTGGGAGGGGAAGGGTCAGGACAGGTGACCCCAAATGCCAAAGGTTCCATCCCATGGAATACCATCCCCAGCTTTCTCTCCACAGCTGCTTCCAGAACATTCTCCAAGCAAAAGCYACCCCAGGTGAGACTCTGGTGGCACTTTGGGGACACACTGGGTGGCACCAGAGCTGAAAAACAAACCCAGGGTGTGGTGGGGTCCCTTTCCCCTCCGTGGTGCAAGGAGGCATCAAAACTCCTTTTAAAAAAATTAATTCATTTCATAAACTTCATTAAAATTATCTTTATTTTAGTGTATTATTTCCACACGGTTTAAATAAATTTAATGCTTAGAAAAAAAAAGAATATTTAGTTTAACTTAAATAAGTTAAATAAAATAATTTTTCCCCATCGCAGAAGAAGGCTGGGGGTCAAATCCTTCATGGTGTCTCCGAGTCAGGAAGCCGTGCCGGGGTTGGAGCAGGGAAAATCTCAATTTTYGGGGTTCTGGAAGTGCTTCAGGAGCTCCTGCACCCAGGCTGCCCGTGGGTCTGCACACAGCTTCCTGTCCTTGATGGTGACAATGCTGTCGGGACACAGAACCGGGATGTGAGTGACATCAAAGCACCCCGAGTGTCCCTGGTGATGTCTGGGTGCCACCAAGCGCCTCGAGTGTCCCTGATCGTGTCTGAGTCTCCCTGTGCACCCTGTGTATCCCCGATTGTGTCTGGGTGCCACTGGGAGCCCCGAGTGTCCCTGGTGATGTCTGGGTGCCACTGGACAGGTGTCCCTTGTTGTATCTGGGTGCCATCAGAGCACCCCGAGTGTCCCTGGTCATGTCTGGACACCACCAGAATGTCCTGAGTGTTCCCAGTCATGTTTAAGTCCCACCAGAGCAGTCCGAGTGTCCCAGATCATGTCAGGGTGCCACCAGAGCACCCCGAGTGTCCCTGGTCATGTCTGGGTGCCACCGGAGCGCCCTGAGTGTCCCTGGTCATGTCTGGGTGCCACCGGAGTGCCCTGAGTGTCCCCAATTGTGTCTGGGTCACATCGGGGTGCCCCAAGTGTCCCTGGTTGTGCCTGGGTGCCACTGGAGCATCCTGAGTGTCCCTGGTCATGTTTGAATCCCACCAGAGCACCCTGAGTGTCCCCGATCGTGTCAGGGTGCCACCAGAGCACCCCGAGTGTCTCCGGTCATGTCTGGGTGCCCCCAGAGTGCCCTGAGTGTCCCCGATTGTGTCTGGGTTGCACCGGAGAGCCCTGAGTGTCCCTGGTCATGTTTGAGTCCCACCGGTGCACCCCAAGTGTCCCCAGTCATGTCTGGGTGCCACCAGAGCACCCTGAGTGTCCCCGGTGGTGTCCCCAGCCCCCCCTGCCACCCCCAAGCTCTGGCAGTACCCCGTACTCACATCACACCCGGGTGGCTGCAGGAGCTGCTGGTGACAAAGACGGAGCGGACGCGGCTCRGGGGGATGTGCTGTCTCTGGTAGCTGAAGCAGCAGGTGGTGGGGACACCATCTGAGGGGACAAGGGACACGWGCTCAGCCCTGCTGAGACCCCAGCACTGCCTGGCAGCTGCCATCTCGGCCACATCCCCTGGCAGGACCCTCCATGAAACCCCCAACCCTGCACCCCACAGCGGGACACAGCCCCACCAATCCACCCCACAGCCACAAATGGTGACCCCAAACTCACCGAGGTGACCCTCCGAGGGACAGCAGGTGGCCAGGAGCAGCAGAGTGACCAGGGTGGCTGCCAGGACCTTCATGGTGCCGCGGGCTGAGGACTCTGAGCGGAGCTGGGGATGCTGAGGGTTCTRTCTGTGACACTGCCATCCCCGGGGTTGTGCTCCCCTTTTATCCCCGTGTCCAGCTGGGTGTGGGGTTTCAAGGAAAGAAAATGATGGCGTCCTATGGGGAAATTATGACAGGATTACCCCGTTCCGCTGAGTTGGGAAAGGTCAGGAAACCGCAGAAGGGGAAGCGCCGGCCACGAGGAGCAAAGGCTTGAGATGTCTTTTTTGGGGGTCCAAATTGTGTCAGGGCTGTGGAGGAACAGCTCTGGGGGTGGAATAGCCCAGCAAACCCGAATTCAGATTCCAGCTTCTCCCTGGGTTTGCCCCAAATCAGCAGGGATCCCTAGTGGGGTCCGTGACTGGTGGAGATGGGGGTAAAGTGTCTCCTGGAGCTGTCAGGAGGAGCTGGGTGCTGCTCTCCGGGTGGTGGAAGAGCAGCTCCAGCTGTTCCAGCTGTTCCAGATTTCTCCAGCTCACATTCAGGGCAGTCCCACACCCACAATGG